ACAATTATGTTAAAAGGGTAGGGAAAGATGTATCACACTGATACTACTCAAAAGAAATCTGGCCAGGCGCGGTGGGATGCCCGTATAGTACCAGCTACTTGGGAGGCTGAGATGGAAGGACCACTGAAACCCAGGAGTTCACGTCCACAATGGGCAGCATCGTGAGACCTTGTCTGTAATAAAAAGACAAAGGAGGCCAGGTGCAGTGGCTCATGCCTGTAATCCCAGCACTTTGGGAGGTCAAGGCAGGCGGATCACTTGAGGTCAGAAGTCTGAGATCAGCCTGGCCAACATGGCGAAATCCCATCTCTACTAAAAATACAAAAATTAGCCAGGTGTGGTGTGGTGACACGCACCTGTAATCCCAGTGACACCAGAGAGTGAGGCAGGAGAATTGCTTGAACCTGGGAGGTGGAGGGTGCAGTGAGCCGAGATTGCACCACTGCACTCCAGCCTGGGTGACAGAGTGAGACTCTGTCTCAAAAAAAAAAAAAAACTACATCGTGATCAAGGGCGGTTCATGCAGAGATGCAAAGCTGATTTGTCAATGCGCTGACCTAGGGTTGTTCACCCAGCACAATGAGACCAATGTCCACACCGAGGTTTGCAGCAGGCGGCAAGAGGGTGCTTCCTTACAGACGCCAAGCAAGGAGGACCAGGGCAGCTCGTGCTTAAGTGCTGGCCTCCCAGATGGCATGCAGGCAAGGGTTTTTAAAGGCAGGGGTAAATTTCAGGAAAATAGAATTCACAGGCAAGACTGTAAATCAAAACATGGAGGTTATACATTGGTTTTGGCCTAAAAGGGAGGGATATCTTGAAGGGGTGAGGGGTATTCCAGGTCATAAGTAGATGCAAAGATTTCCTGGGGCTAGGCATGGTGGCTCATGCCTGTAATCTCAGCACTTTGGGAGGCCGAGGTGGGTGTATCACGACGTCAGGAGTTCGAGACCAGCCTGGCCAATATGCTGAAACCCTGGCTCTACTAAAAATACAAAAATTAGCCGGGTGTGGTGGTGGGTGCCTGTAACCCAGCTGCTCGGGAGGCTGAGGCAAGAGAATCGCTTGAACCCGGGAGGTGGAGGTTGCAGTGAGCTGAGGTCGAGTCACTGCACTCCAGCCTGGGCGACAGAGCCAGACTCCATCTCAACACCGTCCCCACCCCCGGAAAAAAAAAAAAAAAAAAAAATCTGATTTGCAATTAAGGAAGACCAGTTTTGTTTAAAAAGTTGGGGTCAGCAGAAAAGAATGTTAACTCTGGCTCATGGGTGTGGCTCCCTCCAGGCCCCCTTCAGGAAGAAACAGAACAAGAGCAGCAGGCAGAGTTCAGCCCCTGGTTCCCTGTATCTGAGGCCTGCGGGCCGGTAGATCCATTTGGTGGGGGCCCAGGCTTCTGAAAAGTCACTCCAGGACATACTAAGATGCAATCTTGGGTTTCTATGGGAGCCAGCGTCCCCAGCACCCCTGGCTGCTATTTTAGCTGCTTGGGCCATTTTGCTTTCAGGCTGCTCATTTACTTCTCAGGGCCGGTGAGGGGCCCAGAATTTCTCCTGAAGGAACTGGAGACTTTCCTTTATTTCCATGCTTGGAGGGGGACCCACAGGCCCCTAAGGGGAGTCCCTGTTGCATCTCAGTTTTAAAACATTTGAAAATCAATCAATGGAACTTTCTCTCTCTCTCTCTGTCTCTCTCTATATAGATAGATAGATTAGATAGATAGATAGAGAGATAATATATATCTCTATATGTGTGTATATATATATATTTTTTTAGAGAAAGTCTCATTCTGTCGCCCAGGGTGGAGTGCAATGGCATGATCTCTGCTAACTGCAACCTCCGCCTCCTGGGTTCAAGCGATTCTCCTGCCTCAGCCTCCCGAGTAGCTGAGATTACAGGCGACCACCACCATGCCTGGCTAATTTTTGTATTTTTGTAGAGACGGGGTTTCACCATGTTGGCCAGGCTGGTTTCAAACTCCTGACCTCAAGTGATCCACCTGCCTCGGCCTCCCAAAGTGCGCCTGGCTGCACCTTACCATATTAACAGATAGAAAAGCAACGTGATCTCAGTTGACATAAAAAGTGTTTGACACGGCTGGGCACAGTGGCTCACGCATATAATCCCAGCACTTTAGGAGGCTGAGGTGGGCGGATCACGAGGTCAGGAGATCGAGACTATCCTGGCTAACACGGTGAAACCCCATCTCTATTAAAAATACAAAAAGTTAGCCAGGCGTGGTGGCAGCGCCTGTAGTCCCAGCTACTCAGGAGGCTGAGACAGGAGAAGAGCGTGAAACTGGGAGGCAGAGTTTGCAGTGAGTTGAGATTGCCACACTGCATTCCAGCCTGGGTGACAAAGTGAGACTCCGTCTTGGAAAAAAAAATAAATAAATAAAAGTGTTTGACATAGCCGGGTGCGGGGCTCACACCTGTAATCCCAGCACTTTGGGAGGCCGAGGTGGGCAGATCACAAGAGACAGGATCTCACCATGTTGGCCAGGCTGGTTTCAAACTCCTGACCTCAAGTGATCCAGCAGCCTCAGCTTCCCAAAGTGCACCTGGCCGCACCTTACCATATTAACAGATAGAAAAGCAACGTGATCTCAGTTGACATAAAAAGTGTTTGACATGGCTGGGCGTGGTGGCTCACGCATATAATCCCAGCACTTTGGGAGGCCAAGGCGGGCGGATCACGAGGTCAGGAGATGGAGACCATCCTGGCTAACACAGTGAAACTCTACTAAAGTTTCTCTACTAAAACTACAAAAATTAGCCAGGCGTGGTGGTGGGTACCTGTAGTCCCAGCAACTCGGGAGGCTGAGGCAGAATTGCTTGAATCTGGGAGGAGGAGGTTGCAGTGAGCCGAGATCGCGCCACTGCACTCCAGCCTGGGTGACAGAGCGAAACTCCGTCTCAAAGAGGAAAAAAAAAAAAAGCTCTGTCATCATGCCTCACACCACCGCTTCTAGGAGGCCGCATCGGGTGGATCTGGGCTTGGGGAGTAGCGTGTACACCCAAGCGTTCCACTTCCACCCGTTTCCTGGATGGCAGGTAATGTTGGTCAGAAGAGGCTCTGCAGCGGGTCCAGGCTGTGACACCTCCACCTGCTGCGAGTGTGGGTGCCCAGCAGACCCCACCCTGCCTGGAGTGTCTGGCAGAAACACCATGCCCCGGCAAGCCCAGACCTCACATCCCAGGAAAAGGCCATTTCCTCCTGTCACTTGGAAAGCATGCCCCTCTGCCCTGGTGAGGTCTAACAGCATTCAACGGCCACGTGACTCGGCCGCCCAGGAAGAGCCAGACTTGGTCCCAGCGCGTCTGGAAGTAAGTCCTGCGGGCAGAAGACCAGAGCTCCCATGAAACTGCTCCTCCTGAATCACTGCCCCTGCCTCAGCCCACACCGAGGGCTTCATGACGAGAGTCCTATCAGCCTCTGGACAAGAAGGGAAAGTGCAGAGGTGGCTTATGGATGCACGGTGCATGATGTCGCCCAGAAGGGGACAGGTATTGTGTCATAGCTGGGGTGGGGGGCGCTGGCTCTGAAAGACGCAAGAGGCACCCCACAGCAGAACCAAGGTGGCACATCCAGCCACTCTTGGCTGCAGCACGGGCAGCCTGTGGACAGGGGACATCAAATACGGTCTCTTCCTGTCACCTAGCAACTGCTCCAGGTACAAACTGGCCCAGCAGGGACAGAGGCTGTGTGTGACTGATGGCCAGTGCCGGCTTCCCTGGCTCTTGGCATGGCCTCAAGCCTCACCCATTCACAGCAAAGCCCAAAGTGGCACCATCAGTGAGACTGGAGAGTGGGGATGTGTCGGTAAGCTGGTGGCCACCAGAGAAGGAGACGGTGACGGAGCCTCATGGGGAAGGAGACAGATGCAGTTTTGCCGTTCAGCCAAGACTGATGCTAGCACCGTGGGGCCTCAGAACCCCCTGCTGACACCACCTTGCCTCCAGAGGGTCCGTCCTACCACCCTGGTGGCCAGGCTCACACCAGGAATCCCAGCTGAGGGGGACACTTGGAGTGTATGTGACTATTTTTGCCAAAAGCCACAACACCCAGGTCCAGGAGTGAGGGGAGGGTCCCTTGTGGGGTCTCTGTCCCACCCCAGCACCTTGGAGGCCCACTTTGGTTGGGGCAGGCAGGGGACATGGGCTTTGGGAGGTGCAGTGAAGCTAGCAGGCTCACCCCCCACCCCCACCAGAGCCCCTGACAGCCTCCAGGGAAACCTGTGGTGTCCCTGTGCCCCAGCCCTCTGGCTGAGTGCAGCTAAGGGTGGCCCTGGGAGGATGCTGGAGGGAGGGAAGAGACACTGGGGACTTGATTCCTGGGCTCCTGCGCACAGCACCCACAGGCTGGCCACACCCCTGGGCAGAAGGTCCCTGCTCCTTGCCAGGACGCCCAGCCCTGCCTGGACTGGTGAGTACCCTGGGGGCTCCCCTGTGGCTTCCTGGCACCTCCATCTCTGTAAACAGTCAGCAAATTGTCCTCATCTGGCCCTCCCATGTCTCAAAGCCGGAGCCAAGACAATCCGTGGTGAGAAGACGCAGACCATGGTGGACGCTACTGTTTTCTTCTGCTGGCCACAGCCTGGGTCGCACAGGTGTGCCCCCATCCCACCCTCCACCATGCGGGGGTACAGGAGTCTTCCCTCATGCAGCCTCAGCTCCCCACTCTGCAGAACAAGTAAGAGAGCAAGAGACCGGCACGCCGCCTCACCAGGGGTGATCCTGGAAAACCCTGGGTAGGCAGGGCTGAGCTGGCTCCCCAGCCTGGCCCAGGGGCTCAACATGCTTCCGGTCCCGGCCTGGGGGTGGTCTAAGTGGGAGTGAGGGGGAAAGCGGCTTCGCTCCAGTTGAGTCCCCATCAGCCGCCGGGGTTTACCCTTGGAGGCTGCCCCGGAATGTGCCCAGGGCCAAGCCACAGAGCCTGGGCCTGAGACTGACGTGTGCAAAGCTGCTTTAAAGGGGGTGTTGGTACCAAGACATAAAAGAAAATAATAAAATATAAAAATATATTGCAAAGGGGGTGATGGGGGGGCAGCGTGGGCACAGTGCAACCCCAGCTCGCTGATTGCCAGTGGAGGTGCAGCCCAGTGGGGCTCAGCACAGGCTCATGGATTTCCAGGGGCTGGGGGCCCTCTTGGCACAGGGACCTCCAGATATGGCACAGGGTTGGAGAAGGGGCCTGGTCGGGCCCAGTAGTCCAGAGCTCGAACTCGGTAGGAGCCGGAGACAGTACCTGTGTCTGGAGACACGGGGACACGTGTGCCAACCTGAACCTGCCCCTGCCCAAAAGCCTCCTGACCCCAGGCTTCTCAAGGCCCCCACCCAACACTGCCCTGAGGTCGAAGAATGGGGTGGCTGAGACCAGGGCAGCGGGTGGTGGGCGCACCTGGGCTGAACACAAAGAGATTGAAGGTCGATGGCTTTCTGCTGACTGGGGTGTACACCTTACCATCCTGAGAGAACTGGATCTGGTATGTCCACAGGCACCTGGGGAGGTCAGGCCAAGACCAAGGCTGGGGTCAAGACGGTCCTCAAAGGCCAGGGCAGGCAGGGCAGCTGGCCCAGAGCACCATTCCCTCAAGCCCCTCCGCGGCACCTCCCCAGCCCCTGGCCACTCTTCCTGCCCAGACAGGAGAGGGCTGGAGCCTAACTGTCCACTTCATGTCCCGTAGGAGAATGCACATCCCACTGGCAGGGCCTGGTGCAGTGGCCCACAGCGTGTAGGGTGAAGGGCAGGGACGCAGGACTGCAAGGGAAGGAGCTGGTGGGCCATGGCGAGTAGCCCGAGTGACCGCATGGGTGAAGGGGTCGGGACCCAGGGGGTGCCTAGGACTAGGCAGGGGGAGGGGTGGCCCCACTCACGCACTTGGAGCCCACGTGTTCATCCGACCAGACCAAAACCAGCTGCCCTTGGGTCAAGGGCAGGGCACGGAGCCGCGTGACCTGGGGGAGGGAGGGGCTGTGATGGGGTCGGGGAGGAGGAGTCCGGGCGGGCCACAGCGCGGGTTGGGGGATTGCCACTTGCCTGGCCGGG